GGACTCCTGGGGTCTCTGGCCGCGGGGGGCAGGACTTGGGTCCCAGGCAGTCTGGGGGCCCCTCGCTCACTAAACGTCTCTGGCCCTTTTCCAGGGTTAACTGCTCTTTTTACTTTAAGATCGGGGCTTGTCGCCATGGAGACAGGTGTTCCCGCCTCCACAACAGACCCACCTTCAGCCAGGTGAGCTGGGGGGGGCTCCCGGGCACAGAGTTGGGGAGAGGAGATCAGGATGCGACCACTTGTGGGGTGGGGCAGTTGGGGAACACGGACACCTCACTGTGTCTGCATCTCCGTTGTAGACCATCGTGCTGCTGAATCTGTACCGGAACCCCCAGAACACAGCCCAGTCGGCAGATGGCTCGCACTGTGAGTACCGGATATCCCAGTCCCTCCGGGCATGGGGACTGTCTGAGGAAGTGCACAGCCCCCCCGCCTTCCTTTCCCTTAACGCCTCAGTAGGCCCTCTGTTTGCCTACACGGGCCTGGCCACCACTCTCCTTGTGAGGAAGTTCACAGCTTCTGCCAACATCCCCGGCTCCTGGTGGGAGGAGGCCCAGCAGTGTAGTGTGCAGCTAGCCCGTTGTCCAACAGCAGGGTGTTTGTCTCTTCTCCAGGCCACGTCAGTGATGTGGAAGTGCAGGAGCATTATGACAATTTCTTTGAGGTAAGTCACTGCAGGTGGACTGGGAATAGAACACGGGTCCTGGCTCGTTACTAAGCAACTGTTCCCCAGCTGCCTCCCAGAACCAGGTGACCTGTTCCTGGGCAGTGTTATATGTGTCTGTTGCCCGCTACCCTGCCCCAGAGGTGGCTGCTCCCAGGCCTGGGTGACACGTTCCCGGGCAGTGTTGTATACAGCTGTTCCCCACTACCTTGCCTAGGGCCAAGTGAGCCGCCTCGTGCGCTGTTACTAGCTCTCTACCTCATGAACCCTTGTTCTGTCCTTGCGCCAGGAGGTCTTCACGGAGCTGGAGGAGAAGTACGGAGAGATCGAGGAGATGAACATTTGTGACAACCTCGGGGACCACCTGGTTGGCAATGTCTATGTCAAGGTAACACCCAGCTCCCCACCCCTACCCTGAGCCATCCAGTCCCTGCCCTGAGGCTGGATCGGGGCAGGCACCCCTAGCAGGCTGTCTTGACTCTCGTCCCTTGCCAGTTCCGACGGGAGGAGGATGCCGAGCGAGCCGTGGGGGAGCTGAACAATCGCTGGTTCAATGGCCAGGCTGTGCGGGCCGAGCTGTCCCCAGTCACCGACTTCCGCGAGTCCTGCTGCCGCCAGTACGAGATGGGGTAAGTGACCAGGCACGGGACTGGCACCTCTGGGACTCTGCCTTCATTTAGCCCGCGGGGATCCCATCTCCTGGCCAGTACATGCTGATCACGCAGGCTGTGGGGACCTCCCCTCCCCAGAAAATACCTGCTGGGTCCCTAGGCCCCATTAATCCTTGGGGATCCCCCTCCCTGGGCAGGTACCCCCCAGCCACCCTGTTCACCCTTCAGGGTCTACAAGGTTCCAACCATCCCCCCCTTGTTCTCTGCCCCCAGGGAGTGCACGCGTGGGGGGTTCTGCAACTTCATGCACCTGCGGCCCATCTCCCGAGAGCTGCGCCCCGGCGGGGGGGAGTGGGGGGCAAGGGGCAGCTGCTCTCCTGGTGCAGGGGTCTTGGGGGCTAGGTAGGGAGGTCCCTGGGCTGTACACATGGGGTACTGGAGCAGAATGGCTGGCAGGGGCTGGGGAGGTACAGGGACTGAGGGGCAATGCCCCAAGGGGGAGATCAGGAGGGAAGAGAGGTAATTCAGGAACCTATGGGGTGAATGAGGAGCACAGCACCCCCTGAGGGGGCTGAGGGAGCTCCAGGGGCCGGGTTTGGGAAGGTTACACAGCATCCACTGGGGTCAGGCCGTGGCCCTGCTGACTCTGCTCTTTCCCCTAGGGCCCCGTCCCCCGCACGCTCCCACGACCGGCCCCGTGGCAGGAAACGACAGTGCTCACCCGACCATCGCTATGGCCGATTCTGACCCCTCCCTGGGCTCCCTGGCTCAGCCTCCCGACCTTCTACTGACCTGGCGAGGGTGCGACGGTTGGAGCCCCCAGACAAGGCCCCCCTCTCTTTACATTCTGCTAGTCTAACCCTGCAGAGCCCGAGACTATATGGGGGAAGGGCGGAGGGGACTCTCCCCAGCTGTGGGGTTGGCAGGACCCAGGCATCGGGGGACCGCTGGTCTGAATTTGGCCCCCGCCCCCGTGCGAGCTGGAATGATCAGAGCTGGAATAAACTAGCCATGGCCCCACCCTGTCTCGTTCACTCTGCGGGCAGCATGAAGTGGGATCACGCTGACGGGCTGGCAGGAGGGGCGCCGTGCTCTGGGGGAGGGCAGGGTACCAGTAGTGACGCTGCTGGGGGGAGCCGGCTGGGGGCTTGGCAGAGGGTGTTGGACAGTGGGGTGAGGTCGTGGCAGGGGGGTGCCATGCTGCAGAAGGTGGGGAGAAGGGGACCGTTGTACTGCAGGGAGCGGAGGGGGGAGCTGTGCCGCATCCCAGCCCCCCCAGGGATTCTGTCCCCCAGAACCACCCTTCCATAGGCAGCGGCCAGAAGTGGCGCAAACCCTTTGGCCTTTAAAGCACCCTACTGCAGTAGGATCCGCACTGTGGTGGCAGGGCTGACCTGAGGTGCAGCGAGGCAGCTAATTACAACCCAGCGCTTCCTCCCAGCAGCTGGTCACACGGCTCTGTCCCGCCAGCCCCCCCAGGGATTCTGTCCCCCAGAACCACCCTTCCATAGGCAGCGGCCAGAAGTGGCGCAAACCCTTTGGCCTTTAAAGCACCCTACTGCAGTAGGATCCGCACTGTGGTGGCAGGGCTGACCTGAGGTGCAGCGAGGCAGCTAATTACAACCCAGCGCTTCCTCCCAGCAGCTGGTCACACGGCTCTGTCCCGCACGCGCCCACCCACGCAGCCCCGAGCCGTACTCTGCAGTTAGCTCCCCCTGAGTCCAGAACAAAGGAACACACCAGTGTCCCCAGGGAGTCCCCGGCGGCCCTTGGGCTTGGCTGGCCGGCCTGACGTCTCGGGGTCACCATGCCAGTCTGTCACTGCAGAAGCAGCGAGGAGTCCTGTGGCGCTTTGGAGATTCATTTGGGCATCAGCAGTCGTGGGTAAAACCCACTTTGGCAGAAGCATTGCTGGCTGGATCCTAGTGCTCAGTGACTCCACTGTCAGTGACCCCGCAGGAATCCCCCTCTCTGGGCTGGTACCTGCTGGGCGCCCAGCCCCCAGGGAGCACAGCTCAGACACCTGAAATTCACCACGTTCAGGCAGGGACAGATCAGCTCTCCCGAGGGCTGCTGTACCCAAGTCTATTTCCTAATTTAAAATGATCACGTGGGAGGAGGGGGAGGGAAGCTCTGGGGGAGAGAGAGAAGGGCAAAACTGAGGGGTTCAGGTTGTGGGAGGGGGCTCTAGGGTGGGGCAGTGGGGTGAGGGTGCAGGCTCTGGGGTGCACAACCCCACACCCCCGGGATGGGGGTCTCTGAGTGTTGCTCCCATGCCAAGCACCAACTCCACAGGTTCCATTGGCTGAGAAATGCAGACAATGGGAGCTGCGGGGGTGGCGCCTGCAGGCAAGGGCAGCATGCGGAGCTTCCCTGGTCGTGGTCAGCGCCCAGAGCTCCAGCCCGGCGGAGGGGACCTGAGGCTCAGGGCTTGCTGTGGGCCAGATGGAGTTGGGCCAGGGGCTCTCACCCCGGCCAGAGATTTATTTTCCCGGGGGGGCCCCCCCTGTTAGCCTGTCTGGTGCCAGGCCTGTCAGTGCTGAGTGGTTGGGGGCCACAGGCTGTCTGGAGGGCTCCCCAGGAGCTGCAGCCGTTCTGGCCTTGCCCCGCCCAGCTTCGCGCAGCCCCAAAGCCCAGGCTGCAGCTTCCTGCAGGCCAATGGGAAAGGGGCTCACAGCTGGGAGTCACCATCGGACCTGAACAGCGACTCGGGCCGTGAGCTGTCAGGCTGGGCAGGTGCACCCGCCCGATCTCCAGTCACCCTGCCGTGGGCAGGTCTAGGGACAGGGCCTGCTTGCTGAGTTCCTCTCGGTATCTCACATGGATGCACACACGTGTACCTGTGTGCCCCCCCGGCTCCTGCTCCAGCTCCAGTGCCCATCTCTGCAGAGCTGGGGCCAGGAGCGCTGGGAGTGCCAGAAGGGGTGTAGGGCTGGGGAGGCTTCCCGAGCAGGCAGCTCAGTCCCTTCCACAGGCTCTGGGACACACTGGCCCTTTCACACTCCCGCCCCACACATCTGGCTGGACGCCCTGCGTGCACGCTCCTCGCTGTGCGTTTCTTCTTCCCCAGAGGGTTAATTGAGGGGCCTGCTCTGTGCAGGTCGGTTTCAACTTCATTTCTCTTCTGTGTTTTTCAGGGGTAGCCGAGTTAGTCTGTTACAGAAAAAACAGCAAGCAAATGGTCTGGTAGCACTTTATAGATTAACAAAACATGAGGGCTGTGTCTAGACTGGCATGATTTGGGGAAAAACTTGCTAGCTGTCTACACTGGCCGCTTGAATTTCCGGAAAAGCACTGTCAATCTCCTGTAAAATCATCAGTGCTTTTCCGGAAATAATATGCTGCTCCCATTCGGGCAAAAGTCTGTTTCTGAAGGACTTTTGCGCGAAAGGGACAGTGTAGACAGCACAGTGCTGTTTTCCGCAAAAAAGCCCCGATGGCGAAAATGGCAATCGGTGCTTTTTTGCGGAAAACCATGTCTAGATTGGCCACAGACGCTTTTCCGTAAAAAGTGCTTTTGTGGAAAAGCATCCTGACAATCTAGACGCGATTTTTCCGAAAATGCTTTTAACGGAAAACTTTTCCATTAAAAGCATTTTCAGAAAATCATGCCAGTGTAGCCGTGGCCGTAGATGGTGGTATGAGCTTTTGTGGGCACAGCCCGCTTCTTCAGATGACTGGAGTTCTGACTAGTGGATAAGAAAACTTGAAATAAATAGGAGAAGGGAAGGGGGGGGGGAAGAAAGATGCTCTGTCGCCCACCCCCCTACCTCTATAATCAGGAGAAACAAAACAACAAATGGTCTGGTAGAACTTCATAGACTAACAAAACCTGTAGATGGGATCATGAGCAAGCTTGGAATTACAGTACATATGCAAATTCAATTCAATTACTAATGGACTTAATTAAGATATGGCATGGTGGACCTTTTATCACGGAAGGTGCTAACAGCTTTCTGAATGGAATCCTTCCTGCCTTACCAATCTATCTACTGACTATGATCTTTATCTGCTCAGGTTTAGCACCCTTTCTCCTGATACTTTATAGCTACGTCTACATTGGCATGATCTTGCGCAAATACTCTTTAACACAAGAGTTCTTGTGTTAAAGTATTTGCGCAAGAGATGTGCTTTTGAGCAAGAGCATCTGTGCCAGTGTAGACGCTCTCTTGCACAAAAAAGCTCCGATGGCCATTTTAGCCATTGGTCTTTCTTGTGCAAGAAATTCATGTTGCCTGTCTACACTGGCCTCTTGCGCAAGAACAGTTGCACAAAAGGGCTTATTCCTGAGCGGGAGCATCATAGTTCTTGCGCAAGAAGCCCTGATTTCACACGTTAAAACGTCCGTGTCCCTGTGCAAAAACTCCCCGCCAGCGTAGACAGGCAGCATGTTTTTGCGCAAAAGCAGCCGCCTTGGCACAAGATCGCACCAATGTAGACACAGCCTAAATGTAGAGATACGGGGGTGGGCGACAGAGCATCTTTCTCTCCCCCATTCCCTTTTCCTATTGATTTCCAGTTTTCTTATCCCCTACTCATAACTCTGGTTGTCTGAAGAAGTGGGCTGTGCCCACGAAAGTTCATGATCCCATCATTCTGGGAGCAGGGAGTTTGAAAATGCCCAGCCAGCCCTGGCTGGAGTCATGATCCCTCTGGGAACGGGACAGACACAGCTCAGCTCTTGGCTTTTGTTTCTACTGGTGGTGCCCATTAATGGGGAACGGCCCCATCCCCAAGCCAGCCCCTGTACCTCCTGCCCCAAACCAGACCCTCCTTTCAGAGCAAGTACCTCACACCCTGCCCCCTCTGAGCCATCACCTGTACCCCTCCTGCTCCCCAACACACAGCCCAGGCTGCACCCAGCCTGCCTCCCAGAGCCAACACCCCTCAGCCCAGAGCCCACACGCCCTCCTGTGCCAGTCAGTGAAAGTGAGCAGGGGCGGGGCCTCAGGGAAGTGGGTGGGGTTGATCCCAGATTGTCCGGCGCACAGGAAGGTCGGAGGCCCCCGAGTTAGAGCCTTGGGCCTGTGTAAGGCCAGCCAGCCTCCCGCGCGCACTTGTCCTGGTGACTTCCTTTGGCTCCCTTCAGCATCCACGCCCCAGCCGCACTCCCCTGCGCAGCGCACTTCCCAGCTGGGACGGGCCTTGGATCCTTGGTCACCCGCGGGCTGGGCTGGGCGAGGAGGGGATGAGTCAGCGCAGATGTTTCCAAGTTAAACTGCAAAGTGAGCGCCTGCCCTTTGCGCCGGGAGGGCGAGAGCAGCAGAGTCCACCAGGCTAAGGCCAGTTTGAGCAAAACAAGCACCCCCATCAGCTGGTGCGCGGCTGAGAGTCCCACGGGATGTAGCTAACACCTGCCCCCGGGCAGCTCGCCAGGCGCTTACCTTGGGAGCCTGTGAAACACCCCATGGCGACAGCCGGCTCCTTTCAGCTCTTAGCCCCTGGTCGGAAACTGGCCACGTAGCTTTGCAGCGCTTGGCCTCTCCCGGCTGCCGTAGAGCCCCAGCAAGGACACACAAGGATCTGAATTATCAGCTCCCAGGTGGGGCCACAATTTGGAAAGAACTGTCCCAAAAGTGCATCTGAAATGCTGAGGGTAAAATCCTTTTTCTACCCAACAGAAATTGTAACTGCTGCAGCCACCTCTGGGGCAGAGCAGCCAAGGAACAGCCACATATAACACCACACAGGGCTGGCCTGCTTGGCACTGAGCTGTAGCCACGTGGCTGCTATTGCTATGAGAAGTTTCCACTCGAACGTCATTCCTCCCACCCATTCTCATCTGAAATGCTGAGGGTAAAATCCTTTTTCTACCCAACAGAAATTGTAACTGCTGCAGCCACCTCTGGGGCAGAGCAGCCAAGGAACAGCCACATATAACACCACACAGGGCTGGCCTGCTTGGCACTGAGCTGTAGCCACGTGGCTGCTATTGCTATGAGAAGTTTCCACTCGAACGTCATTCCTCCCACCCATTCTCAGTCTGCCCACACGCCCTGCGTTCTGTGCGCTTTAGTGTCACTTTTCCAGCACTCTCAGCCCCTGGATTTGGCCTAGAGTCATTGGCTGCAAGACCCTCAGAACAAGCCCTGTCTCAGTGCCAGGCGTGCCTGTCTCAGTGCCAGGCGTGCCTGCCTCGTGTGGCTGTTCTCTAGCCGCCCTGCCCCAGAGATGGCACTGGGTGGGCCAGCCCCATGTGTGGCTGTTCCCAAGTTGCCCTGCCCCAGAGGCGGCTGCAGCTCAGTGCCAGGTGGGCTGTCCCATGCGGTGTCATGCGCAGCTGTTTCCCTGCTGCCCTGCCCTGACAGTGGTGACATCTCCGCGCTGGCTGGATATTCCCCGTGCGCAGCCGTGCTGATGCGACGTGCTGGTTTTCAGGGCAGCAGGAAACCTGGTAGGGTGGAGACAGGAAACGGGGGGCAGCACCAGGGAGCCTCACGCCTGCCCGCCATGAGCAGCAACTCAGCCCTACGTGAAGTGCGACAGAC